ATCTCATTTCAATTAAATGAAAGAGAAAAACTACAAAAATCCAATATCGATTCCCTTCATAAATTACAAGAAAACAAGAGCACTATCTTGATTAAGACATTGATTTGGGTAAAGATATTCCGTAACCTAGAAAGGGGAGAACAACGATGCATCAGACCAAAGCCCCAGGCTCCGTCAGCTCGCGGGTCCCCGGACCATGTTCCGTGTTTGTTGTTGAACCCGCGTTCACGAGCTGTTTCTAAGATGACTCCCCGACCTCCGACTCCATGACCACCGTCCTCGCCTTCGCCTTCCGCGACCTCCTCAGTCTGATCATTTTCAGCGGCCATGACAGAAGTGAGAGAGAAGGAGAAGCTGAGAGATAGAGTGGAGAGAGAGAGAGAGAGAGAGAGAGAGAGAGAGAGAGAGATGGGATGAGGTTAAAGGGATGGGCGCAGTTACCAAGCTCAATCAAATCAAAGGGTAAATTTGTAATTTTGTTGGGTTTTTCTCAGGATCTGGTACTTTGGGGCCTTAACACAAATACAATGTGTATTTGTGGCTGAATCACATGGGGCAAAATACAAGGGGAGGGGTCACATGAAGTTTCTGCTTTTGGGGCCTGGACACATTTTTCCCTTAAAAATTTGACTACACCTCTCAATAAGTCTAACTACAACTGATATCAAAAAATTACATACGAGTTCTGAAAGAGAAAGTGATTGACTATTGAGGAGAAGTATGAAATGATTGGAGGTGACATGGATCGTTGAATTTTTCTGACCTTGGCCATTCTACAGGCACACCTTGGCCATTCTACAGGCACCCTCCGGATTTACATTTGAATTTTGCTTTTCCTTAGGGCATAACATTAGGTCTGCCGGGGTATTATTTCTATATAATCAATCAAAATTATAAATAATCAAATAATAATATAGTAAAATAGAGAAAGGAGTTGCTGGCCTGAAAGAGGACAGTTGTAATGCCACTGTCCTAGAACAATAGCCGTTGCATTGGCAGAGACGTATTAATACAACTGTGAACTAGCGATACCCCAAAAAGGTTAGTCAGCACTTGAGTTTACTGTGAATCTCAAGCCTCTTGCTCAATGGATGCATTGCATAGAAATAGTAACTTAAAATAATTAAGAGGATACATGAAGAAAGAAAGGAGAGAAAACAAAAGAGATCTTCTTCATTTATTTTGTATTTTCCACGTGATCTTTCATTTTCATTTTCGTATTCATGTAAGCTCTCAGCCACCCGTGGAAAGAAGCCAAGCATTCAAAGCATTAATAAAATGTCACAATAACAAATAGGTTTAATAAGGAAATTAATGTATTATAATGAATTTGTCCATAACAATTATTCATGTCCTTTATTACATCAATTTATGGTTTAATGCAAGTAATTAGTATGAGAAAATAAAATAAAAATAAAATCCAAAGGCCGGCAGACATTCTTGTCTACAATTGGAGCGGGGGGAAGCACGCTTGTGTTGATCTCACAGGGGTGTCTCCGCTGGTGGGGTTTGGTAATGGAGAATTCAAGGTTGGGTATGCAGCGGATAGAGCAGCAGAGGCAAAGGTGGGCAAACATGATCAAGCTTGCAAGGACAACCATCACAACTTCATCCCGTTCGCTTTCGATACGTTTGGTTTCCTTGCAGCTGATGCGGCGGAGTTCCTCAGGAGGGTACAAAAATTCATGAATAAGAATGTGGCGACAGCAGGGTCCGCTGAGTACGTGTTTCGTAGGTTGGGTTTTGCAATTCAGAATGGATTAGCGGCGCAGCTTGTTGCCCGCTTGTCATCATCACTTGTGTAATTTTTTTTTTTTATTATATAAAAAGGGGAAAATCCAAATAAAATAAACTAATCGATCTTTTAAACCAATTTTCAAACAAGCTAACCTATAAGATAAGACCCAAACTCATATTTTATATTTAAAGCATCAACCTTTCTTCTTATTTTCAATATGACTCCTATATTTTTCTTTTTATCTTTTTGGGATACGAGACAAATCTTGACAAGGCACGAGGATCCCTAGATCGAAGCCCAAGTTCGATCCTGATCCCTGTCAAGTAAATTCATAATATGTGGGCCCCACCTTCCATACCCAGAGTTCATATTAGATAGATGGGATCGAACTAAGGGCTTGTTTGGATTGAGGAGAATGAGGGTGAAGGAAAGTTAGGGGAACCATTCACCTCCATTCATCTTGTTTGGGAACACTTAGGATGTGAAGTTAATTCACCCTAAAATAAACTAATCGATCTTTTAAACCAATTTTCAAACAAGCTAACCTATAAGATAAGACCCAAACTCATATTTTATATTTAAAGCATCAACCTTTCTTCTTATTTTCAATATGACTCCTATATTTTTCTTTTTATCTTTTTGGGATACGAGACAAATCTTGACAAGGCACGAGGATCCCTAGATCGAAGCCCAAGTTCGATCCTGATCCCTGTCAAGTAAATTCATAATATGTGGGCCCCACCTTCCATACCCAGAGTTCATATTAGATAGATGGGATCGAACTAAGGGCTTGTTTGGATTGAGGAGAATGAGGGTGAAGGAAAGTTAGGGGAACCATTCACCTCCATTCATCTTGTTTGGGAACACTTAGGATGTGAAGTTAATTCACCCTAGTTCCCCTTGGTTCACCCCCTAATATTATAAAATTTGTTACCTCTCAAATTGGGGTGTAACCAAGGGGAAGGGAACTCCCTTCCCTTCCCCTCCCTTCCATTCTCTCAGTTTTCCTTAACTTCCCTTCACCCCTTACAAATCCAAACAAGTCTTAAGAACCTGAGAGTGTCGCTTCATAGTATTACCACTGCGTCAACTGACCACCTGCGCATACTAGTTGTTATTTAACCATATAAACTATATCGGTGTTCTCATGTGTCATGATCAAGAGGTAATTTTTTTACACTCGTGGTACGCAATAGATAGTGCTCTTGGTATGCAATAGATTAAGTCTAAATGACACTTAAATACCATATTGTTACATCATATTTACACTTAAATATTCTAAGTTGTTAAAAATAGTTCTTTGATACCTTAAGTTGTAAAAAAAATAGTACTTTAATATCCTATTATTTCACTAATGTCACACTTAAATATTCCAAGTTATAAAAGTAGTATTTTACCACCCTAAATTATAATAAAGTAACACTTTAATACACTATGTTGTAAAAAAAACAGTATTTTAATACATTTTTGTTAGTTGTTATGACTTATTTCTGAGAATCTTTCCATCACAGCTACTAAAAGATGCTAATGTACTAATTTTTTTACAAGTTAAAATATTAAAATACTGTTTCTATACCTAGAGTATTTAAATATAAAGTTAGTGAAGCAACAGCGTACTTAAGTGTCATTTAACCATAGATTAACTATAGCTAACTTACTTCCAATCATAGGGTACCCACCACCAACCATGTGCTCCCCACGATGCCCCTCCGACCCATCAAAAACCGCGCCAAGAAAAAAAAAAGGGAGGAGTCCAGCGCAATGCTGCTGCACGCTTGGGCCCATTTTCTCCATCAATTCGCGTGATTGTTTGGCGATATCCTCCTCCCTCTCTCCTGCCCCCGCCTGCTTCCCATTTTGACTTCCCCCAGATCACGATACTATACAGTGGACACGAAAATTACAAAAACACAAATAAAATAATTTCAAGCGCAAAAAAAAAAAAAAGAAGAAGAAAGTATAAAGTAAAGAAAAAGACAAGAATAGCACTAGGTTCCCCAATGCCATCCAGCCTGTCCTTCACACTTCACCCCGCTCTCTCAGGACAAACGACTCAGCATCTTTATATATTGCTCCCTTACATCTTCCATATTTTGATATTAGTCCCTCAAGACTTTTAGGGCCAACTTACACTTAACCCCTCTGAACTTTGAGGGGCTAACTATGTTGGACAATTAATTAGGATTACCACTATGAAACTGAAAATATACTTTCAAGATGAAAGAAAAATTTTCTCAGTGTGATCAAGACGTGCGAATGCATTTCATCACTCGGAGAGTAGCTCTCGGTGTAGCAGATTATTGGTGACCTATGCCTCGGAATTCAATGGCCATTAGCTAAGCAAGCATGCACTTGCAATACTATAGGCCCTTGAACAGCTCTGGTTTATTTCTTCCTTTGCAATAGAGAGGAGAAGAGAGTTTAACCAAGAGTTTTTAAGAGTTGATGTTTTCTATGTATATTCTCAGAGTAGAAAGCTTGGGGGGTTTTGTATTGAGAAAAGGATCTGCAGAAATCCTTTGGGCAGCTGCAAAATAGTTTGGAAATATAAGAAGCAGATAGTTTGAGAAAAGCTTCAATTTGCACATAACTCCCTTGAATTTATTTATCTTACATAACTCCCTATACTTTAAGGTGTTACAAAACTTCTTGAAGTTTGAACTTTTCTCACCAGACTCTTGACATGTAATTTAAAAATAATTAAGATTTTCTTAAGGGAATAAAAATTTAAACTTTGTCCTTTTTTATAGATAATATACTCTCTTTCTTAAGTTTTGAATTTTTTTTTTCTTTCAATGAAAATTTAGTTATTTGTAATTTAGCCATAGAGGGTACGATCAGA